ATAAAATGAAAGTTACAATTCTGTGTACTTCAGCATATGCCTCTCTTAATTCTGCAGGACTTACTTCTGTGTAAACACAGGATCAGACTGCAGGTTGCTTCATAAGAGATACAAAAGAGCTTCCACATGGTAGAGATGGAAGTTGTCTCTGGCCCATCCAGGTTCCAAATAGTGGCATACCTTGCTGGGACATAGAAAAAAGTCAGGTTCAAATCCCTGCTCAGTTCATTAGGTGCTGGGCAATTGCTCTCTCCTTGCCCTGAGGATTATTGTTAGAGTAAGCGGCTGCTGTTAATTACTTAGAAGAACAGTAACAAATAAACAGTAATGTTGATGTTTCTCTGACTTTAATTTCATGACTAATTATTGTAGTTAGTTGTAGTTTATACCAGGGGTGCCAAAAATATATACACATTTTAAGAGATGTAATCTATGCATTATTTTTTGAAGTTGAATTGAATATGATGTTTGTTCAAAAGATGGTGGTACTTTGGTCAACGCTGCTCAAGCAGTAATTCACCATAATTAGAAGTGTCTGGGTGCTGATGATAACCACTTTGAGCACCTCTTGTAATTGCAGAAGTCAAACATGACTTGTATTCATCTTTTGTTATCAGTATATATTGTGTATAACAATATCAATACAGTTTTTTTTAAATGTGTACATATTTTTGGCACCCTCTGTATTACAGAATGAGCAAATCGTAACGTATCGAGTGTGTGGGTGCAAATAGTTTGGAACAATTAGGAATAATAATTATTATGACCCACATTACAAGTTTATTATGAAGAAAGATGGATAAAAGGATTGCAACACACGGTGCACACGTTCAAGGGCCATAATTCCCTTAGCTTCAATACTATGTACACTAAACTGGGAGTAAGTCTCAATGAACTCATCTGAGTAGATGTGCATAGGATTGTGCTGTAAATAACATTAATAAGGATATTGAAACAGAATGCTTCTATCAAACTAGCTAACATGACTTTTTCCATCATAGGAATTTTTAAATACTCTGCTTAACCAATTCCAGTTTTTGCACTTGCCAAAGTTGTGTTGTAAGCATGAACCCCCTGGATCTGTTTCCAGATTTCAGACTGCTTAGTGATTTCTCTGCACTGAGCTTTCTGCAGGCAGACTATAAAGGGTCTGTTGAAGGTCACAAGCTCTAATGGTTGTCCTTTATGAAATGGTAGCTCTGCAGCGAAAGGTACCGGAGAGGTGGGGGCAGCGAGCAAGTAGGGAATAGCAATGGCATTTGAATTAACTTGACAGTGCAACTTATGCCGAGTCTTGGAAGCAGGTAATTCTTTGAAAGCCACTAAAATTCCATTATGGCCTGTGGGTTTTGATTTTCTCCTTTGATGTGTGATCTTGAAGAAATGCCATGTAGCAGGAAAAGCTGCAGCAACTATGCCTGTAAAGTTAGAATTGAAAGAACAGGCACTGTGTGGAGAATTCTCATTTTAACATCTGCTTCATCTAAGGCCTGGGCAGCACTCGGTATGACACATTTCCCACTGCATATCAATATGAGATCATGATTTCAACCAAGCTGGATAGAGACTGGAAAAACACAACTGTGCCAGCATTCTTTTGCCTTTCTTCAGGATGAAAGGAATATAGATTTGCTCTATAGGCAGAATATTTAATAGCATAAAATATAAAATAAAAAGCAACAAAGGTCAATTTACGATGCCATGATAAATGTGCCCTTTGCTTCAGTAATTCAAAGAAATTCAGATGCTGAGGGAATTTCAGTAGATGAGATGGTAAAGTATTGTTGCCCAGACAAATAGCCCTGGGCTAATGGAATGCAGTGGGTTGCATCAAAGGGATCCTTCCACTAGAGAAGATTCAGCCCATGGTTTCTATAGCCATGTTGGTCTTCCACAACCCAGAGCCCTTCAGATGCTTTTGGCCACAGTTTTGAGTATTTCTGGCCATTGGCTATGCTGGCTGGGACATCTGGATGCCACTGGGGGAAGGCTGGCCTTTGCTTCCCAGAATTCAGGCAATGACCTTTGTCTCGGGGAAGCAGCTCTGGAAGATCAGAACATGCAGTAACCAAGATTATTCCTTCCCCTTTTTATACTTGAGAATGAGTTGGTCCTCTCATGATCACCACTATACATCATGGTGGAAATCCAGGGAGAAGCATCTCAGTTTTGCTGCAGTTCAGAATGGTAATTTTTGCAGTTAAAGACTTTCAAAAATATGCTGTGAGCCGCCCCGAGGCTTTGTTGCGATGGGGGCGGCATAGAAATGTTTTAAATAAATAAATAAAAATAGAGGCATCCTTCTGTTTTCCTCACTGCAGTATGTACTCGAAACTGTCAGAAGGAGTTATTTGTTAGTAGCCAAATTAGCATCTCAGAAAGAACAAGGTATCGTAAGAACAATAAGCTGATAAGTCTTTTTGAATTTTGGATCACTAGTACTGCCATCTTATATACATTTTATTGGGACTAAGTGCTGTTTTTACTTAACAGACTTTAATTCTGAGTAAACATATATAAGATTGTTCTTTAGAAGAATCCAAGAGATAGAAACTTTTTAGGAGTCTTGACTAATCATTTACTTTAGGCCAATTAATGTATTTTACATTCTGGAAGCCAGGCTGTAAAGCTTATGAAATTTTCAAACGTAGCTTCATTTTGACTGCCAATCCAGATTATTAAATGGATAACGTTTATATACTAGTAGTCAAGGAGTAGATGGGAATCACTGTAAAGACGGATCAGTCATATCAAAATGGCTTTATCAGGGCTCAGTGATCTAACAGGGCATCTTCAGCCTTGAGGCCAGCTGAAAATGGAAGATGATAAATATCTCACGGTTGCTGAACTGAAGCTGTATATTAAAATCTGAATGGAAAATTCAGCATAGTATTATCCTCCACAGTCCAGGATATGAGGAGTCAGACTGTAGTGAGATCTCAGGCCATATTTTTGGGCTACCTACATAGATTTTTATTTTTCTCAAATGTGGAAAAAAATGAGGAAACATTGTAGAATCTTCCCGAGCCATAATTCAGCCACAGCTACCTGAAGTTATTTATTTTGTTACATTTTTATGCTGCCCAATAGTCAAGCTCTCTGCTATATATCCCTGTAGAACTTTTTAATTTCAGCAGTCTATTCACAGTGTGTTCCTGCTTTAGGAATTATGGTACATATCATAAACTTACTTGTCAACCCTTCTTGGAATAATACTTCTAAATGAATTTATCAGCTGGTCAGACTAGGAGTTCCCGATCATGCTGGCAACTAGTAACTGCCATACTTTGGGTCAAAGTACCCAAATTATAGAAATTCCTCAGATTAAGATGAGGGTCAAGACATGGAGAAGTTGTAGCCTGTGACGGTGGTATGAAGAGTGGCCATGGGTGGGCAATTCCATGCTTTGGCATGTGCTAAGATGCTGTGCATGCATAAACTGTGTAATTGTGTGCAGCCATGAACCAACCTGAAGTGGTCGTGATGACATTTGGGTATGTGCACAAGCACTTTGACAGTGTCTGTGAAATATAAACCAACCCTTTTTCTGTCACTGCTTTGACAGTGGCATCCCGGAAGTCAAGGACGCCCTTCTGCAATCAAAATCATTTATATCACTTGTATCAACTAACAGATATTAAATGCTGCCCTTCATCCCAGGCTATCAAGGGCTGGACCAAAGAAGAAAGTTTTCACAGTAACTGTGAAGGGTGTTCAGTCTTGAATGCTGCTAGTTGTTCAAGGGAAATAACCTTCCATAATGCAATTGCTTCTTGGCATGGTACACAGGTAAAATTAAGAGGATGCTCTTGGTCACTCAGATGGATGTCTCTCTATTATTTAAAACTGTTGTTCAAATAATACATTCACAGCAGCTAGTTCTTCCTGCACCATATTGATCAGTGATCTCAATGACAACAGTGGACTGTGCTTCATATGGCATAAAGCGGCTTATTTTTTAGGAAAAAGATTTATTGTCTTTTCTGTATGGCTCCTAAGAAATATGTGAACAATCATCCTAGTATAAAAGTAGACTGTGGCCTACTCGAGATTTTATTTCATAGCAGTGCAATATTATGTTCCTAAATAGAAAAGGGCTCAAAAACTTCTCTTGGATCAGGGTTGGCAACATATAAGCAATAACAAATCACAGTAATCTCAAAAGCAGATTAGCATTTTGAACATGCAGAAACAAAAATAAATTGTAGAGTAGCTTGAGCATATGCTACTGTATGTGAGTCAACTGTAAATAGCTACGGTGCTTACAACACAGGTCAGGTAAAGGGGGATTAATTGTAATCTTCAGCATCTGACTAACTGAAATAATCCAGTTCAATAGCTAGGAGCAAAATGCCAGTTGATTGCTTTAAACTAATTCCATTACATTTTACCATATACGTTTCCACTAGTCTTAGAATCTTTCATTCTTACGGTCAAAAGCAAAACAAAATTCCTACTGATACACAAAGCCAACCATCTTTTAGTGCAGTTCTAAGCATGTTTAAGTCCTAATGAGTCCTGCTCACAAATAATTGTGTAAAAGGATTGTAGCTGTAGTCCAATCTATTGTCAAAGTTCCTAAATCTTTCAGATGACATGCATGATGCTCCAATTTCTTTCCCCTCCCCCATGTCATCCTTACCAAGGCTTGGTGAAACACCTATGGAAAGTGTACAGCATTTCCAGTCAGAAGGATTAGGTCTTTCACAAACACACACTGACTCAGCTGTTTTCATTTGAGAGAATGAACGTTCAGTCCTTGTTACTGCAACATGCTGTTTCAAGCAGCATACCTAATGTAAAATGTAGAAGCATTTGTGGTAATATCATCAATAAGGTTTCAAAATTATTTTTAAGGCATCAGATATTGAAAGCAGAAGGCAAGACAGTGCCAGAAAACAATGTTCTCCACTATTGCACTGGATGACTTTGGTAACATCTCCCTAACTCTTTCCTTTGTATGCAACTTTTTATTTATTATCTATGTTATTGTTTCTCAGAGCTCCCTGAAGAGAAGAGGCAGCAGGGATATTCATAAAGAAAAGAAGGCATTTGCTCAGGTACTGTTTCCAGCCATGCACATGTCAGTTTTGGGAAAACATTTAGTGAATGTGGTTGGGCATCAGGGGAGTTGGGTTTTTTAAATATCTCCATAATTCAGTTGCAATTGATAATTGTTTATAACTTTGCTAAAATGGTACCTTTGATTCTTTTCTGTTCCTCCCTGTCCCCCATCCCATGTCTGTAGACAAAAGCAGATTTTTTTTTTTCTTATGGAAAATAAATTGCCTTGTCTCGGAGTATTTGGAGCAGATAGAGCTCAGGGACATTAGCTAAATTTATCCTTGGTGCCAAGGTTTTTGTGCTAATGAGTATCTTGGCACCAAATGCAGTTCGCACCTAAAACAACACATAGTGTGTTGATCTCTCAGAGTCTGAACTGTTGTTTTCAGGTAACAGCATGTGATCGCAAGTTATCAGTCTTTTTCAACCTGACTAAAGTAGAAAAGTGTGGCTGTCCCCTCACCCCAACTGGATTCAGATGTTATTGTATTTCTGGAATATGATTTTTCACCATGGAAAATTTTAGATTGTGCTTCTGTTTTCAGCTGGCTATAAAGTAATCAATATTTCCCCCCAGCTTTCATACCATTAACTGCCAAACAGATCGGGCATGTGAACTGGATTTTCACTCATTGTATGGTTGTTGGTGAAAATCTTTATTCCTCACCACTAAAACAATTCCCAGTTTCTATGGACAGTGCTCTGACGCTGTGACAAGATTACCCTGGCATGAGATTTCATGTGATCTGAGCAGTTTTGGATTCCTCAGGTAGTAAGTGGGAATGAAGATGGAAGGGAAAAAATCCTGCTTGCTTCATATGTAACATTTATCGTGTCAACATTATCTTGGTAAAAATAATGTCTGATCAGGCCCTTAGGCAATTATCTACTTCCTCAAATGATTGAAGTGCAATAAAGAACAAAACAAAATTAACAGGGTGAGATCTGGAAAAGATATATTTGCTGGAGATGCTCTGCATTAGCTAGTGAATGTTCTCTCCATTGGCTATTGACAGCCTTCACTGAGGCAGGTAGGGGAAAATGTAACAAGCCATGCTTTGGGTTGTGTTAAGACAGCATTGTAAGCCATGTTTCAGCAACAGATCATGGTTCAATGACTGGGTTAATAACAAGGTTTGCACATCATGTCAACCCACAGTGGGCAAGTAGCCATGGAGTTGTCATGCTGTCTGAATTTGGACTGTTCCCCAGGGCAGCTTTCTTTCTCAGATATGCAGTTTTGTCTGGTCTATTTTCTTGTCAGTTGCAACCATTAAAAGGTAACAGCATAATGCAGTCAGACTATATAAAGGCTACATTGCCGTCATCAAATGCCTCACCATCAGTTGGAACACGCCAGTAAATGAGAAAGAAACCACAAAGGTGGTGCTTCATTTGTCTATTAATATTTGACAAGGTAATAGACCAGGCAGGACTGCATATATTGGAAAGCAGAAAGCATTAACTCGTGTAATTCCTGATCAGTGGTGTTATAATCACCACCATTATTATTAAATTGCCAAGATGTGTGTACATTTTGGGGGCTGAAAAAGAAAGTAGAACCCAATAGTGCTTTTTGGAATCTTTAGTGGGGAAACAGCAGCAGAGAAGGAAAAGAGTCTTGATTTAAGTGATGGTAGATGTAAAAGGGTCACATTCTGAACAGGGACAGGGAAAATGATCTGTGACACAAGGGACACTGGGATACCAGCTGAAGGACCAAGGGGGAGAACAACCCACAGTGAGCCTGACCATGCGAACATATCCAGTTTATGCATGCAAGGGTACTATGGCAAGGAACAGAAAAAAGATTTGCAATGCTGTGCACTGATGTTAACTTTCAAAATACTCTATATAAAGAGAGAGAGCCAGCTGGATATAGTGGTTATACTGTTGGACTAGGACACAGCAGATCCAGGTTCTAGCTTCCACTTGGACCAGTCACTGCCTTTTAGTCTAACCAGCTCATAGTGTTGTTGTTGAGAGGATAAAATGAGAGGAGAAATTATAAGTTGCAAGTTGCACTGAGTACCTTGCAAGAAAAAGAAAGGTGATGAAAGGTGCGGTATAAATATAATGCAATCATAATGCAAGACGAAGACACAGCAGCGAAGTGTGATAGAGTAAGTTAAGGCTGGTGATAAATCCCCTCCCAAAAAGGGGGTGGCATTGGAGGCCTATAGATCCCAAGCAATTTTGGGGCTTTGGACAAACAAACAGTCGGTTGGATTCAGACTAGAAATGGAGAAATCGATCTATAACTAATATGTGCCAGTTTATCATTACCTCTGTCAAAAGTCCAGCCCTGTTCAGACATTTGGGCTAATGTTCCAGTGTAATGTCAGTAGCGGGATGGGACCACGCATGTTGGAAACTCGAGTAAGGCAGGATCCGTGACTCCTCATTCAGCTGAACACTAATACAGGAGCTTATGTACAGCCTGAAGTGCCTGACCCTGCCTAGTCTTGGAAGCTAAGCAGATTCAGGCTAGGTCAAAATCTGAATGTGTGACTTAAAATGTTGTGAAGCACCCAGAGATCTTTGAGTGCAGGTGTTACAGAAATGTAATATAACTATGGTTATGATGCATTTCCCTTTTCCAACTTTCCAAAGTCAATACTGCAAGGTCTGAACTGAGTCGGGTGGAATTGGCATGGCCCTATCCTTCTACCCATTTCTCACATATTTAGGTGAATGCTTACCCTTCTGTTTCATGGTATTTCTACAACAATCAGGGAATTTTTTTTAAAAAGCACATGAAAAGTAACTCCTTATGCAGTTCACTCTAACATATACACATTTTTTTTTCGAGAGAGAGAGAGGTAGACTGCCAAGAGGCACCAAACGATTAGTACTGCTGTCTGAATTCAGTTTAAATTGGCTTCCCTGCACTCATCCCTCAACTGTTACTAAATCTCATGCAACTGAGATTCCACATACCAAGAAGAAACAGAGGTTTGGTTTGGTTAAAAATATAAATAATAAAAGAAGGAAAAAACCCTTCTCTACTGAATATACTACAGCATTAAATGATTTCTCCCAGTGTCCTCATACAGTAAGTAGGAGGAAGATAAGAAATGATAGCCCACACTCTACGTGGCATCACATTGTTGGCAGAATGTGAATGGACCCTTTCAGCTTCCTTGTGCCCTATATTCTCATGCTATCTGTGTTTTAATTTCCTTTGGCCTGGTCGCATGAGAACAGCACCGAAAAAGAATTAGCTAATACAGGAATGAGCACAGCATGATCTGCTCACAGACACTTTATCAGTATTTTACCGTATTATGTCCTTTTCTTACCAAGTAGGTAGCAGGAATAAACAGCATTTTTGTGGCTTGATGCTATTCATAGTTTTGTCAAACAATTATCAGATCTTATTTTTTAATAGGAGAGGCTCTTTTTGTAAGGGGCGTGTTGTGGGTGTTGTCCTATGCATTTGAAATTACTCACAGCTGACTCTGCCTTCCATATTTTCTCAATTTCCTATTGATGACATCCTGATGTACCATTGATAATGATGCTGTGACTCTCCATGTCCCTGGACACTGCAATTGGAGCACATGGTTTGACCTGCATGTGCCCTGTTGCCAAGACAACAAACTTACTTTCATAGAATTGTTCAAAGACAATAAAGGGAACCTAGTGACTCTTACGTCAGTGGGAAACCATGCAGCTTTTATTTTGGTCTTTATAGGAGCTATCCATGATTGATGGACAATTGATCAATTAACAGTTGATTTTGTCTCTTCAAATTTTAATGGCATTAAAGGCATTACTGAGACTTAGAATTTTAACCTATGTTGTTTTACCTTCTTACATTACTGTTCTACTGTCAGCTGTATAATATTGTGTTATGTATATGGTTGCAAATGGTGTTTGTTATGTTTTGTTTATATTATTAGTTTATTCTATATTATGTATATTATTGTCTTACTGGCTCTGTAATCCACCTAGACAGTTCCGTTGGACAAATTGGTTGCAGAATACAAATTTAATAATAAGTAAATGAATAAATGCACCTCTTGGTGGGGGAGTTCAGCACAATGGATCGTTCCTATGAAGTTCACAATAAAGGCTGCAATGAGGAGTCACCAGCATTCCCTGTGAGAGTTACAACCAGCCTGATTCAAAAGTCAGAATAAGACGTCTTAGAAAGAAGAATGTGTGGCATTTTATGTTACACCGAATGCACTATTCTCCTGATGTTAAAGAAATGTTGTGAGGTAATGGAAGTATATGTGGTTATAGAAAGGGCAAGCGGCTCCTCCCGACTGCTAGCTCATGGGCATTCTATACTTATGAATTAAGCAGGTCTGTGTACTAAATAATACCAACATTCTCCAGCTGTACAGATTGCTAATCCATTTGTAATATAGTTGCTTTTTCTTTGGCTAGCTTTAAGAGGACTGTGAAGCCTGCTTTGGAGCGTCATGTTTAATGTCAGCAAGTATAAATCAGAATTCTGATTTACCATGAATTAGTTGCATACTTGAGCACTCTTGCAGAAGCAACTTAATTAATCAGGGAATAAACATGGTCTGAACCAGATTTACTGGCTTGTTGTTCCTAAAATATACCTATTAGGAGAGTGACAAGCCAAGAATCTCAGTCTGGACATAATATTAAACCTTTAATTCTGATGTAGTTAAATTGCTCCCATTGATGGGTAGGGGTAAGTGGATGCTATTGGGTTGTGTGTACCAACCCACAAGCAATTGCAAAATTCTCTGGAATTTTGCCTTACAGTTGTGTGCAAGTGTGGCCACTGTCTCTCACTTTCACATTTGACAGCCACATAAATTTAAACTTGCATTGCTTTAAAATAATAAACAAACAAACACACTGATGTGTTGGAATGCTGCATTCTGTGTACTACATGTTTTGTCTGTATTGTACAATACTACAACAGACACAAAGCCCTGTAGATCAATGAAGCGACCCGAATCAATGAAATTTTCTTGCCTCTTGGAAAGACTGGCAACCAGCCAGAGCT